TGTCCATGTTGTCTGCTCAGGTGAGACTTGGAGCATGCTTTTAACCTTCTTGTATATTCTGTTGGAATAAGAAATAAAAGGAAGTTTTCCTGAAATCCACCATCTTCTTTCAGAGTACACAGAAGTCCGGCTCATGAAAAATGGCAGCTCTCAGTGTGAGGGACAAGTGGAGATGAGAATTTCTGGAGTCTGGGGACCACTCTGTGCCTCTCACTGGAACATGGCCAATGCCAACGTACTCTGTCGTCAGATCAACTGTGGAGTTGCCATCTCCACCCCAACGGGAGCATCCTTTATGGGTAGAAGGGACCAGATCTGGAAACACCGATTTCACTGCACAGGGGCCGAGACTTTTTTGTGGAATTGTCCTGTGACTGCCCTGGGGATTCCTGAGTGTCCCCAAGGAAATACAGCCTCAGTGATCTGCTCAGGTAAGAGAGAAAGTAGGGGCTCACTGGTACTTGGGAACTTCCTAGATGAAATGTCCCTGAGAGGAGAGAGTGGAAACCTGACTGCAAACATGAGACTTTCTGCACTGGGTTGTTCTGTTGATTCATCTTTCAAGTCTGGGCAAGAAGGGCTAAGGGGTAACATTTTTAATAGACATCATGGAATAGATGAACACTGTCTGAAATCACTGTGCATTGACCAATGCAGGATGAAATTTTGGAGCCAAGATCTCAGAGAAAAACTAAGTGCAGAAGTGAGACTATTTCCTTGAGGCAGTTCCTATTCAAAGTTAACAGCTGACAGAAGAGAGGCTCAATAGAAAGGTTCCCAGACTCACTGACTGGGGATCAATATAATAATTTGAGGTGTGTTAGGAGGAGGAACCCTATTGAACATCCAGAATACTTGTTGTTGTTTAGGGATGTTGAGTTGGCTCCAAAACTTCATATTGCATGGATTGATATTCAGTGATTTCAAACAGTGTTCATCCATTGCAATTTTTCTATTGGCACCATCATTGCAATGGTTTAAAATCATCATGTTTACCATTATCAGAATCAAAACTCTAAAAAAAGGCTAGCTCTGAAGGTATGATACTATTACTCTAACGTCTAAGTTTTCACTTCCGACTCCCTCACTGAATTTATGTAGTTTTATTCATGTCGTTTCTATAGGAAATTGGACCCAGCTGTTGCCCCCATGTAATGACTCCATGTCTAATCCAGCAGGCTCTACAGCCTCAGAGGACAAGGCTGCCAACTGTTCAGGTGAGGGTTCCTACAGGATGAGAACCCATTCTCATCCCTGTATAAATGCCTCCTGTCTGATTTATCCCGCTATAAATGCTTGTTTACATGACTGTCTCACCTCAGAAAGCAGATGGCTCCGCCTGGTGAACGGGAGCAGTAGATGTGACGGGAGAGTGGAGATCTACCACGAAGGCTTCTGGGGCACCATCTGTGATGACAACTGGGACATGAATGCTGCCCAAGTGGTGTGCAGACAACTGGGCTGTGGAGTGGCCATCAATGCCACTAGTTCTGCTCATTTTGGGGAAGGAACAGGACCTATCTGGCTTGACCAGTTGAACTGCACAGGAAAAGAGTCCTATGTGTGGAGGTGCAAGTCCCAGGGCTGGGGGCAGAATGACTGCAGGCACAAGGAGGACGCAGGGGTCATCTGTTCAGGTCTGCTCTCTACATGCCCATATCTGGGGAAGGCAGCTTGGAACTCCATGGGGGTTAGGGCCTGGGCCACTGGGGAGTCTGAATTGAATAAGCCAGAGGGGATGGGGGCTTCTTATCATAGTCCTTGATATTTAAATACCTGTGAATAATGTATTTCTTCCCGTGTGATTTCACCAAGCAAAATAGTTTTTTCTAGTATTTTACAACTAAAAGCAGGCCTTGTATTTCAGACAGATTTTTTTAATGACTTGCAAATCCCACCCACAGCTTCTATCTATCAGTGCATATCCCAGAGGTTAAGGTAATAAATGGAGAGCTACTTCACCTCTGGTAGCGTAGTGGTTACGAATCGGGCTGCGAACCTAAAGGTCAGCGGTTCGAAACTACCAGCTGCTCCGCGGGAGAAAGATGAGGCTTTC